CCGGCCCCGCCGGCAGGAGAGGAGGCCAGGGCAGCAGAGTTGTGCCGCCAAGCTCCCGAGGTGGTCGGCGCGGGGAAACGTTTGGGGAGGGGGCCCGGGAGGGGGTGGTTAGACGCCACTCACGCGTCGAATTTGTTGTTCATCCTCTCGCCGCTACTGTCGCCACTGCCTCACGGAGTGACTTCCGCTCTACCAGGTCCGTCGGCCAAGGGCTCGGACACTTCCGGTTGCGTGGGACGCAGCGGAACGTCGACACTCAGGCTCTGCGAGGTGCGGGATGGTTTTCCAGGGACAACCGGCCGCAGCGCTTGCGCAAAAAACGCGGGACTGGCGACTGCGCGTGCTTTGCCCTCCCTGCTGGGTTGTGTGACTTCGCCTCCAGTGCGCACGCGCGTGCGTGTCCCGCCTCACTACGAACCTGGGAGGCGAGGCTGGCGCTGGCTCTGCTCTACCACTTCTCCCACCTTTCCAGGTCGGCGGCGGGTCCCACTAACCCTGTCAGGCCCAAGAAACAGTAACCCTCAACAAATGGTAGCTGGTATTCATCTTTGAGTTCTTCCTGTGTGCCAGGAGCTGCAGCGCTAATCCTTTGCCCTCTGAGGCTTTCCAAGAGGTTGAGGAAATAGCGCCTAGGTAACAAAGCCAGTAAGGGGCCCATTAGAACCGAAAATGGCCCCGTTGCCATCACATTGCCGCCTGGATAGAATCTCGCCATCCCCACCCTTCCAGGGCACTATGGTCTCGACTGCTTCAGACATACAAGCAGGAGAAAAATGCAATGCATCTGCTGCCGATTGAGCCCCAAAGCCAACAACCCTGTGTTTGGTCACGTCTCCCCTCTCTCCAGCACGTTCCGTTGTCACCGCTTTAGGTGCTTGCGCAGTTTTGAATCGCATTTACCTCCACTTTGGCCCCCGAGGTGAGGATGGGTGGAAACGAATGTTGTGTCCCTGAAACGTGCCTAAGGAATATAAGCGACTCCCTCTCCCTTTGTACCCTAGGCCCCGGGTAATCAGAGGACTGCGTTGCTCGGGAGGGGCTCAGCTGGTCATCTATTTCCTGAATGGCGCCAAGTAAAGCCAATCAGTGCTTCCTCGGGAGGGCAGAGCCCAGTGCCAGGCCTCGTTGCTTGCCCTTCTTTGTTTTATCCATCCTTTGGAACCAGAGCAAATACCTTGGCTTTCAAGAAGACAGGGAAGAAGGGGCCATAGAATCGTTTTTAAGAGGGGCTGACATAAGGGCTAGGGATTTGGTACAGTGGCTCTGGCGCCTGCCACGCAAGCACAAGGCCCCGAGTTTGATCCCTGATACCACATTAAAAAAAAAAAAAGTGGCTGACATTAGGTCTGATTCACGAATTCTGGACTCCAATTCTCATGGAGCCACTAGTGTTCTGGGGAGTCCCTGTACTCCAGGCCCTAATTTGCCCATATGAAATGTGGAAGAGTAATGACCCTGGGCTGTCCATGATGCTATGAGGACCCTTAACAGGGAAAACAGGTAGTGAAGTTCAAGAAATCTTTTGTGATCAATGGCAAGAAAAGCACACAAATGGAAAGGCGCTGCTGCCAGCAAATATATATAGGGTGCATTCAACTCAGGGCAGGCAGGAGGAAGGCCTGCCCGCCAGCCTGGGCTGCTGCCGCGTGAGAGATCTCCACGCTACACCTCTCTTGGCTGCCTCCTGCTGACAGGATTTGTAAAAGGGAAATTGGTCCCAGGCCTGGAGGGGTAGGATCTTGCCCAGCTAGGCACATCATGTAAACAGAACCTGTAGGGCTGCAGAATGATGGGGGTCCAAGATGCTTCCCTGGAATGTTGGGAGTGGAGGAGGGGGCTGTGCCAGGATGAGCTGGTCAATGCCATGTGGACGCCAGCCCCAGCAAAGCACCCATCCCCAACTGATCTGGGAGTCCAATTCTGTCTTTATTACTCCAGCTTTTCTTGGGGCCCCTTGGCTCACATTTCCCAAAGAGCACACTCATGACCCACAAATGCGGCTCCCCTGTGCCCAGCAGTGACTGATTGGTTCAGGCTGGGGAGGGCAGGTAGGGTCGGGGGTCTCCAGGGAATGGCAGGGTGGGCACCCGGTTGTAGTGGGCCATGAGGAAGATGCCAGCAGTGCCGCAGATGAGGAGAGAGAGCATGGCCAGGAAGCAGACGCGGTCCAGTACACGGCCCACCAGGAACCACTCCTTGTTCCCCTAGAGGTCGGGATGGGTGGGAGGAGGGATAAGCAGGGGCAGCACCAGCCCCTGCCCTGCCTCCCTCTCCTGTCCTTGGGCCGCCACCCTTCATTTCTTTGGACCCTTCTCACCTCAATTGGCTCCCTTCTCTCTTTTTCATCCAGTGCTCTGTCTTGGACGACACACTCATCCTGCCCGCATCTCACACCCTGGTTCCCCCCACACCATGACCCGCTTACACTGTCAAAGCGACTCTGCTGGAGCCGGGCTCGGGAAATGAAGTTGCAGGCATCGACACAGGCCTGGATGGCCGGGGCAGCCTGCTTCAGACTGCCGCAGAACTCCTGGCTCTGCCCCAACTCCGGGCCTTTCTCTGATGGAGACAGAATGGGAGGTTTGGGAGTAAAACAGAGGAGAAACAGGTAGAGAAGGTGGCTTCTGCTTGCATTCCCCCATCCCTTGCTCCCCAGCTTGGACCCTCACTTGCAGTCTGGCGTCCCTGGGCAGGCATGTCCCCAGGCAGGCATGTCCCCAGCAGCACCCCCAGGCCTTACCCAGCTTCTCCAGTGCCGCCCTCACCAGCCCGTTGCGCTGCCACTGCCGGAAGAGGAGCTCACTGCAGGGCAGACACAGGGACACCTCCTCCCCAGTTGGGCTGGGCCACCCTGAAGAGGAGCCATTCTGGAGCCGGGGCCGGGGGTCCTGCACAGCCGCTGGGGTCAGCGAGCAAATGTGCATTCGCAGCAGCTGGGGCAGGAAGCGCAGGAACACCTGCTGGGGGAGCGAGCGTGCTGTCCTGCCTGGGCAGCCCAGCTGAGCTTCAGAGAGAGGGCAAGGGCTTGTGCTGCTGGGCCTGCAGCCAGTGCTCAAGGGGTGATGGCGTGGCCCTGTGCAGCTTGGCTGTTCCGTCCTGACACAGAGCCCGGGACCCCACACTTTTTCGCACATCAGGATCACCAGGACCCGTGTAGCAAACACAGCTTCCTGCCCCACACTTTTGGCTGTGCTGGCCTAGGATGCCGGGTGGACCTGGGAATCTGCATTCCTCACAAGGGCCCTACTGCCTGCTGCATGTGGGCTGCGGCTCACCAGGGCCTCCCATCTGACTGCCAGAACAGAGTCCTGCCTCCTCCACTTCCTGGCTGCATGACCTTGGGCAAACTGCTTAACTGCTCTGAGCCTCAGTTTCCTCTTCTGTTGGATGGAGGCGATTGTAACAGCTGCTTCATAGGGGTTTTAGGACGAGTAAGTAGGTTGACCTACACAGTCTCCCCAGCACCTTGTGAGCGCGAAGGCTGGTGGAAAGGTTTGCTGCCGATTGGGCAGGGGAGCATAGAGCCAGGGATGGGCACAGAGGGAGGCACACAGGAATGAGTGAGGAGGGGCCTTGCCTTGCGGACCCCTCGGGCCATGGAGTGTGTGTGCGGGGACCTCAAGGACACGTTGAGCACGACCACAGCATTCACGACAATGAGGATGGTCACCACCATGAGGAAGGTCAGGTACCTGTGGGGGGTGAGGGCAGGGGCTGGGTGGCCCCGGGCACCCCATGCCCAGGTGCCTCCCCTGGTCTGTTGGTGGAGACCTGGCCTTACTTGCTGATGAGTGGCACTGACTGGGATGTCTCTGGCACCTTCTTGGCCACGAGGAAGAGGAAGACGGTCTGGGCCAGGAGCACATTGATGGCCACGGTGCACTTCTGGCCACCCGCTGCTCGTGGCAAGGGGACCTCAGAGCAGGTCTCCTCCACCCCTCCCTTTCCCCCCCCTCCACCAGGAGCCCAGGTTGAGGTGCTACGTATGCCCTGAGCGAGCCCTGCCCCGGCCTCCTAGCATCCCTGCACGGCTGGGTGGGGACACGGTTCTGGGTACCCTTGGCAGGGAGGAAGTAGATGAGGATGGCAACGGAGGAGATGAGCACACAGGGGGCGAGGATGTTGATGACGTAGAAGAGCGGCTTGCGCTGGATGAACAGGTAGAACACCACCCTCTGGTGGCCTGCTGCGTCCTCGTCCAGCAGCATCCTGGCTGGCCGGTGCCGGATGGCCCACTCCCCGTTCTCTGCAGGGCCAGAGGGGTGTGGGCTGGGCAGAGCCACAGGCAGAGGGGCCCAGCCTCTGGGCAGCACGTGGCCCAGCAGGTGCCAGTAGACACAAGCGCCATCCAGGGACACAGGTGGGGTATAAGATTAGACACTGATCCCCGATTTCCAGAGCTGGAGTAATCAGAAAATTATCTTTACAGGAATGTACTCTGGATTGCTGTCACTTTCACCTTGAAAGGCCTTGAAAGTCCTTACAGAGGGACGTGGCCTTGGTTAGGCCTTGTCACTGTGGCCACATCTAGCGGGAACCTGGGGTGGGGACCTGCTGTCTGGGAGCCCCGGGCTCGGGTTACCCGTGAAGGCCTCGGGGTCGATGAAGATCCACTCAATGGTCTGGCCGCCTTCCTGAGTCAGCTGCAGGTTAATCTCACTGGTGCTGTAGGTCTGGGACCTGTGTCCAGAGAGGAATGGGTGAGCTAGAATTTGGGAGCCGCACCCACAGTCATATAGACTCCGGCTTCAAAACTGCAGCCCCACGAGGCTGGGCTCTCTACATTCCCTGGGGAAAGGCGGCCGCCAGGGGATGTGGGCTCTTTGGGGACCACAATGTGGAGAGGAGAGGGCCCGGAGGTGCAGGTCGGTACCGTCATCAGGACAAAGAGCCCAGGCCACACTACGTCTGTCCCTGTCACTGCCACCAACTACAATGTAGAAAGTACATGCCCAGTGTGAGAGGATCTCCCGGGTCTGGTTATCAAGGGAGCCTCCCTAAGGCTTCAGGCTGCTGGAGGCCAAAGCAAGGGAATTAATTGCAAGCTAATTTAGGGGCTTAGTGGGAGATAGAACCAGGCTCCAGGCCTCTAGGTGGCGCCAGAACGCCCTCCCCCAGCACAGGCTCCCGAACCCCACCACATAATCAGCCTCACTGGAATACGAGGGAACAGTTCTGCCAGTCAAAGGGGAAGTAGGTGACGGAGACAGCGCAGGAAGAGCGGAAGATGGCAGGCGGCAGCCAGTAGATGCAGCCAGTAGGGGACACCAGCACGTTGCAATAGAGGGCCACCTCGAAGACACCATCCACACTGCAATGCCGGGCCACAGGTCCATGGGCTTGGACCCCACAGTGCCACTGGCCCTCTGTCCCAGGTGGACGGGGACCAGGGACGCTACCCCCAGCCTGTCTTACTGACCAGTGCCTGCCTGGACCCCTGCTGCCCCCGGCAGGCTCCCTGCCACCCCAACCCAACACCCGACTGTGCTTCTAGGAACTGTCCTGGGCCCAGGGCACAAGGAGGGGATGGGGCTGGGGCTGGTGGCCTGGCCTCCGCCCTGCTCTGTGCCCTCTGCCTCATCCCACTGGGCCCGACCCTGTCACCCTGGGCCCCACCCTCCCATCCCTGCTCACTTGTTCTCCAGCACGATGTCTGGCCGCCACACCAGGGTGGATGGCACCCGCAACACCCACAGGCCCCCGTAGTCCTGGGGGTCCCAGCGCAGGCGATAGTCACACCACTGCTGTGGGAGTGGGCAGGGGCATTGCCAGGCCTCTGTTCTGGGTTGTACAGGGCCCTAGGAGTGAGAGTCCAACTGAGGGTGCTCAGGTCTCTTACCATCTCTATCCAGACGTTGGTGGTGAGGGCCTCCTCTCGCTCGTTCTGGGGGTGCAGAACAGAGGGTTAGGTCCCCGTGCCCTGCCCTCCCAGGGGCCCATACAGCCAGGGGGTTTCCCCACTCTCGGGCTCTCCTCCTCCTTCCTGGGTGCTGGAGATGGGCATCTCTCCTGAGGTCCCAGTGCCCAGCCCGAGGCTCTGCCTGCTTTCGGCCACTCACCAGAGAGATAAGGTTGGTCAGGGTGAGCTTCAGGCTGACGTTCACTATGTCTGTGCCGTGCTCTGCAGGTCGAAGGTGAGGGTCATAGCTGCGCATCAGGTCAGCCAGCAGGCGCTCCTCCTGGTTGCGGCCCTGGGCCCCTGCAGTGACAACCGGAGCCTCAGCCTCACTGTGGGGCCTTGAGGCAGTGCAGCAGGGAGAAACAGAATGGGGCAGTGGAGACATGTGGGCCAGGGTGGGGCAAGGCCTCCAAGGCCCCAGACCCGTTAAACCCCAGTTCCCCTGGGCCTCACCCAGGCAGGCAGCCAGCAGTGGCAGAAGGAGCAGCGGCCCTTGGCCCCGACACATGATGCCTCCTCTCTCCGGTCCCCAGGTCCAGGGCAGAGCAAAATGGCTGGGTGTCCTGTGACAGGCTACGCTCCCATCCGGCCAGCCTGCCTGCCCAGCCCGGCCCCACCAGCTGTCTGACCACAGCACTGTCAGCTGCCTGGGGGCACAACAATGCCGGCTCAGGTTACCTGGCCAGGGAGGGAGAAGGGCTGTGGGGCCCAATAGACACAGCCCCCCCACCCTGCGCCTGGTGTCCAGTGGGGACGCCCGGGACACAGCCAGGGCCAGACACTGCCTGGCAGGGAGTCAGGCTATGGGAGGTGTGGGCTGTTGCACTGGCCCGGCTTGGGCATGAGTTTCTCCATGGCACCTTGGCCACCAGCCTGCCATCTTCACGGGCCACACAAAGGATGCGGGTGGCCCAGAGACCTCAACACTGCAGAGCTGGAACCAGATCAGGTCCTCCTGTGCCCTGAGAAAGGACGCAGGCCTGCAGCTTTGCAACTAGAGGGCTGAAAAGGTTCTAGAACATGGGGCTCTGCATCAAGGACAGCCAGCTGGGCCTGACACCCCTCTTTGCACCTCTAGTGTGTATCGCATCGCCCTGCCAACCCAGTGCCAGGCTACAGAGATCCAGGGACGCCCCGCTCCCTGGGAGCACATGGGAGTTTATGGTTCACAGGGACAGGCAGACAAGGGGGAAAGGGCTGAGGTCATGTTCCCCACAGGGAATGAGGGGCCCAGAAGGCAAGATGGGAGGGCTCAAGCCCCACCTGCTCTGCTGTTTGCGGCTGGTCAGGGTGGGGCCTTGAGGCGGCCACTGCCTTTGACATCTGTTCCAGCACACAGGACGGGGTGTCCCAGTACATGGGAAGGAAGCAACAGTCAAACTGTCCCAGGCTTCGGGGGACAGGGTGACAGCAGCAAAGCCCCCACATCATGTCTGCACACTTTAGTTTGTGCAGCAAACCGGAAGTCAGGCCCTTCCTGGAGGACCCAGGCAGCGGCTCAGAACCCAGCCCTGCGGGGCCTCTGGGGCCTCCAGTCCCTCACTTCTGGCCAGGACTCCTGGCTGGAGCTGGGGGCCAGAGGGACGGCACCTATCGACCTGGTCAGCTGTCACCTGTGGGTGACACCTGCTGCAGGACTCCTGCACCCTGTGGCAGCCCCAGTCCCCCACAGCCTCCCTCACCGAGCGGCCATTGGGGAGAACACTCACCGGGGCCCACTGAGTCTGTGCCCTCAGCTCGGCTCCCTTGCCCTCGCCCTTCCCCACTGCTTCCTCCACCCCAGCCCACCTCTGCTGCAGCAGGGCTGGTGGCGTCACACCCCGGGCTGTCCTTCCCCACAGGTGTCTGTGAGGGCAGAGGCCGAGGGTGGTGACCCCTTCCCTGCTGGCTGGTCTGGTCACGGTGCCTGCCTACAAACAAGGGATCCAGGAGGCCTGAGAAGGCCTGGTGTCCTTGGCAGGGTGAGTCACCTGTTGGGGGGGGCTCTGGGGATTCCCCTCTTATCCAGAAGGGATGGTGCCAGGGCCCCTCACATACCAGTGTCAGCCAGCACTCAGGACCCCTATATAAAGTGGTGTAGTGAGCTGGTTGTGGTAGCACATGCCTGTAATCCCAGTACTCAGGAGGCTGAGGCAGGAGAGTCACCAGGAATTTGAGGCCAACCTGGGCTACATAGTGAATTCAAGGCCAGCCTGAACTACAAAGCAAAGTGAAGTAGTACTGTATTTGCACATGTCCTGAGTAACCCTCCCCTAATCCCTTGGTTACTTATGATACCTAATAGTGCAAATACCATACAAATATTTGTTATGCTATATCATTTAGGAGATAGTGATGAGAAAAAGTCTGTACATGGCCAGTATACATTTTTCCTTCCAAATATTTTCAACCTGTGGCTGGCTGAATCCACCGAAGCTGAGCCCATAGGTTTGCAGGGCTGATCATACTTCTTTTCCAGGCTTTCCTGCACACAGAGGCAGCTCTGTGATGTTTTGACCAATGACTTGCTGTGGGACTTCCTAGGAAAGCTTTGCTTCTGATAAGAGGGGTAAGAAATACCCAGCCCCTCTTGTGCCTGAACATAGACGCAAAGGGTGGGACTGTGGCATTCAGTTTGTAATCTGAGGCAACAAGCAGGTGGAAGCAGGCCCACATGCTGTGAAGGCAGCCAACAGCCAGGGTCCCCCAAGGCGTTGTTGTACAGTTGAGCCAGTGTAGCCGCTTTCTCTTGACTCTGACAGTGTGAGGAGAAAGGAAACCTTAGTTTAAACTATGGCTGTGATTCAGTGCAGCATCTGTTCCTTGCAGCTAGTGCATTCCTAACAGATATGCCACCCACTGAGGGAGGGTGGTGGCCCTGCTGGCCTAAAGGGACTGTAGGAACCCACTTTGGTCTTCTGCTGGGGAAGGTTCCCCTGGGAGTGATTCCTGGGCGCCGAAAGGGAAGGGGTCCAAGGCGACCAGAGTGGACCAGTGGAGACCCACCACCATAGCGCCACCGTGTGGCAGAGGCAGCCATGTGTGTGTTGGTCCAGATTCTGGCCTCTCCAGCGTTTGCAGGGATGGGACACTCCAAGGCCTCCCAGCTGTCTGACCCTGTGAGTCCCATCCGGTCTTCCTATGCTGGGGAAGTTACAGGCTTTCACCTTGGATCTGTGGGCACTTCACACCTGAAGGCAGAAATAACCACAATCTGTTTGGCTTTAAACAGTTTTTCTTTTCCCTCAGTTACAGCTAAAGATGAAAAATGTCCCCTGCTGTCCCTCACAGCTAATAAAGCCACCCTATCCCTCTGGGGAAAATGGCTGGAGCTGTGGCAACAGTGGGCCTGTGTGTCCAGGAGGGGATTAACCGAGCCCTGTGCCCCATTTCTGCCCTCTCAGTCGCCGCCCCAGGCTTGGGGGTTGCAGGCCTGAGCAGGAGCCTCTGGTGGAAGCCCTGAATCCTATCTTCCAGGACTTGGGCAGTCAGACAAGGAGTGGGCTGAATTTACAGGACAGGTTAAGTACCATACCCCCTACTAGCAAATTCAACTTTTTCTTTCTTTCCTTTTTTTTTTGACAAAGGGTCTCACTCTGTAGTTTAGGCTGGCTTTGAACTCACAATGTAGCCCAAGCTGACCTTGAAGTCAAAGTGGTCCCCCTGCCTCAGCCTCCTGAGTGCTGGGATCGCAGGTATGCGCCACCACACCCAGCTCCAAATTCAATTTTCACAACACCCTGTAGGCAGGATACTCCCCACACACCTCACAGACCCGAGGCCCCACTGCTAGTGTAACAAATCAGCCTGAATGCTGTCACCAAAATCAACGTTTATTCTCTCACACAGTCGCTGAGAGGCTGGGATCCAGGAACAGTCTCAATGGGTGGTTCTGACTGAGGGACTCCTGTGGGGCTGTGATCCATGTGGGGGCCTTGCTGGGGAGGGGGGTCACCTCCACAGTCTCACGTGTGGCTGCTGGCAGAAGGCTTGTCCCTCATGAGGCACCCCAGCTTCCCAAAACATCAGATGCAATCCATATGATCAAGAACAAGTGAGGGCTGGGGATTTAGCTTAGTGGTTCCAGTGCCTGCCTCTCAAGTGCAAGGACCCGAGTTCAATCCGCAGTACCAAAACAACAACAACAACAAAAAAAAAAAACAGGTGAAACAAGTTCTGCAGGGACTTTTTGTTTGTTTGCTTTGAGACAGGGTCTATGTAGTTCAGGCTGGCCTTGAACTCACAGCGACCCTCCTGCCTCAGCCTCCCAAGTGTGGGACTACAGGTGTGCCCACCCAGCTCAGGGACAGGTGCCAGCCTCGCCTGCACCCGGTCCCCAAGGCTGTCCCCAGAGCCCACCTAGATGAAGCGCCTGTCCCGCTCGTCATACGAAAAGGGGTCGCCAGGGAAGGGCTGGGGCGGGGGCTGGTTGTAGGCACCCTGCAGGAAGATCCAGGCCGTGCCCACCACCATGACGGGCGTCACCACGAACAGGCACAGGCGGTCCACCGTGCGGGCCACCTGGTTCCAGCTGTCCTTCTCCTGGAGAGGGGACAGGGCCTCAGTGCAAACAGGCCTTCTGCCACTGTCCCCAGCAAGATCCCCACCCCTGTGGCCACCCAAGGGGCTGTTCGTGGTGTCTGCTGAGGAGAAAGTGGGACCACAGCCCTTCCAGCCCCTCCGGGTGCCTCCCACAGGTGGCCCTCGCTCAGGAGACAATGCAGTTGTGTCATCAGGTTTCCCTTTAGCCACCTGCTCTGTCTGGAGCAGCAGGCACTAAGTCGGGCAGGGACAGAAATGACTGGCAGCTAGACAAGAAGGGATGACTAGAAGATGGGGCCAGGAGTCTCTGTGTCACTGTGTGCCTGGCTCAGAGAGAACACGTGCCTGGAAATCTGCCCAGCCATGAGTTCCACCATGTAAGTTGGCAGATGTGTGTAAGTGGGACCGCGCTCCCTTAAGATGGGTTACATTTGATCAGTACACAGCTCGAACACTCGTACATGACAGCCCCATGGCCACTCACCTCGTTGTAATTGTTCTGGTCCCTCATGTGGTTGACGATGAAGTTGGCCCCATCCACAGCCGGCTTCAGCTCATTGAAGAGTTCCTGCTGGGCCTGCTCAGAGCTTGCTGGGGGCTGGCCTGGGGATGGGCCAGAGTAGGGCATGAGGCCTGCCCCTGCCAACCTCCTACTGGCAGGCCATGCCCTGAGGCCCCCAGGGACCCACGTGCGGCCGTGAGGCGCCGGGCCAGCCCGTGCCGCTCCGACTGCTTCTCAAACATAAGGTCGCTGCGTGATTTGAGCGAGAAGTACTCCTCCGCCTTGGAGATGTAACCCAGGGAGCTGCTTCTCCGGACCAAGGCTCCAGGGCCAGGTCCCTCCTCTGCCGGCCGGGACATGCGCAGGAGCTTGGGCAGGGTCTCCAGGAAGATCTTCGATAGCCACGGGGACAGGAGAAAGGCCACCTCACAAGCGTGGAGTGGCTTTTACACACCCTAGTGTCCAGGACTCTGCTCCTGCTGACCGCCGCCACCGCCTGACCCCACCACCACTGCCGATGTCCCGCCCACCGACACTGAGGTCGCTCCCAATGCTTCCCAGTCCCACTGCAGAGCAGAGGTTCGTCATTGAAAATGAAGACCAAGGGGCCGGGGATTCAGCTCAGTGGTTCTGCCGCCTGCCTGACAAGTGCAAGGACTCGAGTTCAATCCCCGGTACCAAAAATAAATAAAGACCAGGGCCAGGGATATAGCTCAGGGGCGCTGTGCCTGCCTTGCAAGCACAAGGTCCTGAGTTCAATCCCTGGTACTGCAAAAAAGAAAAGAAAAGACCCAAGGCCAAACCCCGAGCTCTCTCCTCCAGGTGCTTAAAGACTAGAGAGTTCCCAAACCACCCCTGTTGTTCCTGAACAGCCGCTGGCCCTGCGAGTGTCCCAAGCACCCCACCCACCTTCTCCCTTCTTCCTTTTTAATTTTTATTTTTGGTGCCAAGATGGAATCCAGGGCCTCACTCATGCTAGGTAAGTGCTCTGCCCTGTCAATGCAGTGTCAAGACCGCACAGCAGGGTACTCTTCGTCAGAACTTTTTTTTTTGGTACTGGGGATCGAACTCAGGTCCTTGCGCTTGCGAGGCAGGTGGCAGAACCACTGAGCTAAATCCCCGGACCTCTCAGAGCTTTTTTTTATTTGGAGACTGGGTTTTGCTAAATGGCTAAGGTGTCCAGACTGAGCTTGAACTCGTCACCCTCCTGCCTCAGCCTCCCAGAGTGTGGGGATTACAGGTGTGCACCTCCGTGCTGGGCCCTGTGCTCACCCTCTTGACTCCCTCGGGCAGCACGTGGGTGCTGGGTGTCCGGAAGTGGATGTTGAGCACGATGACGCAGATCACCACGACCATGGTCACCAGCACCATGCCAAAGAGCAGGAACCTGTGGGGACGTTCAGCCTGGAGGCCAGCTGGGCGTGGGGGGATGGGGCGGGGCAGGCGGGCCCACCGGCCGCACTCACTTGCCAATGAGCGGGATGGCAACGGAGGTGGCGGGCAGCCGCTTGGAGATGAGCAGCAGGAAGACAGACTGGGCCAGCAACACGGAGATAGCCACCGAAGTCTTCTCGCCACCTGGGAAGCCAGACCGAGCTGTGCCCTAGATTTCAGGCCCACAGGATCCCTGCAGTGGCGCCGGACACCACTGTACAGTGCCAACGTGTCCTGATAAACATCCAGGCCACAGCCCTGGAGGACCTGGGTTCAAATCCTAGCTCTGCCACTAACTAGCTGGGTGACTGGGGACAAGTGGCCTAACTTGGGGCAAGTGTCCTCATAGAACCAGAGTGGCGCCCAACATGCAGCCTTCCTCGCACAGGCCCCAGTCCAGCGCTGCCCACACTGTCCACCCAACCCTCGTATAGGAGGGTGATGTCCGACCTTGCCATGACCCCTCTTCTCCCTGGGCGGGAAAAGCCCCGCCCTCCAAAAGCCCCGCCCAGTTCAGTGGACTCCACCCTCTGTCAGGGGCTGCTCCTGAGTTGTGGAATCGCTGCCTCTGGAGCCCAGGCTGATTTCGTCCCCAGGCCCTGGGAGACCCCATAGCCAGCAGCTCACAGTGGCCTGGGGCCAGGCCCGGCTGTGCCCTCGGTCCCCAGGACAAGTCCCTCGTGAGCACCCTAACCACTTGGGGTGCTGCCACTGGCCACAGGCCGGATCCCCAGGTGGGGAGGCGGGCCGGAGGACGGGGCACTCACTGTCGGCCGGTAGGTAGAAGACCAGGTTGACCATGAAGGAGATGAGCACGCAGGGCACCAGGATGTTGATGACATAGAAGAGCGGCTTGCGGCGGATGATGAGGTAGAAGGTGACGTCCTGGTGGCTGGTGCTGTCCCGCGGGGTGCTGGGGTCCATGTTGACCCTGGCAGGCCGGTGAACGATCTCCCACTCCCCGTTCTCTGTAGGTGGCAAATGGATGGCTCAGGGGGAGGAGGGCGCAAGGTCCTCAGGTGGGGCGGAGGCTCAGGCTCTGCCTGGGGTCCCCAGGTTGGGCTGGGCTCTCAGTGTGTGGGTGAGTTTTTTTCTTTTTTGGTACCGGAGATCAAACTCAGGACCTTGTGCTTGCAAGGCAGGTAGTAGTAGCACTGAGCTAAATCCCCAGCCCTTGTGTTTGTTTCTTAAAACAGGGTCTCACTCTGTAGTCCTGGCTGGCCTTGAACTCACGCAGTCCTCCTGTCTCAGCCTCCCAAGCGCTGGGATTACACGTGTGAGCCACCACACCTGGCTTTTGTTTTTCCCTCTCTTTGGAAAACATAGATACTGAGGCCATACAGGGCCCAAATAAGGAGTGCGTTTTGGCTCAAAAGAAGTCACAAGCCAAAAATAGATTAGGTGCTGATTAAGGAGATAGAATAAGGAGGCTTCCAGTTATTGAGCATGTCTACCTAAGTTAAAAAAAAAGAGAGTTGAGCTGATTTAACTTGAGCTGACCCTCCCCGGCCTCGGTGTTGGGATAATGGGCTCCCTGTCTCCGAGATGCCCCAGCCTAGAGACCAGCAGGATGCAGGTTGGGCAGTGGGCCTGGGTATAGACAGGGGATGGGGGGTGACACTCATCGGATTCCTCACCCACCCTCAGCGGCCCCTGCCACACTTCCAGTCTTTTGGCCAGGAAGGGGCTCCCACCCAGATGGCCTCTGGGACACCTTGGCCTGTGGTGAGTGTGTGCAGGTGTCCCTGTGATGAACGATGCACGTTCATGCCTCCCGGGGCCTGGCCACCCCCAGCGGCACCTGTGAAGCCCTCGGGGTCAATGATGACCCACTCCACTGGGTAGGTGCGGCCATCTTCCTCCTCCTGCTTCAGGCTCAGCGTGATCTCTTTGGCCGTGTACTTGAGCGAGCTGGGGGTGGGCAGCAGACAGAGGTGACCCTCGGCCACCCGCAGGGGACACGGAGGCCACGGGGGAGAGGGCAGCTGAGGCAGGGTGCCAGGGGAAGAGCATCTAGAAGAAGGGGTGCACCTGAATTTGAGGGAGCAGTTCTGCCAGTCGAAGGGGAAGTAGGTGACGGAGATGGGACAAGAGGAGCGGAAGATGGCAGGCGGGAGCCAGTACACGTAGCCAGAGTTGTAGACGAGCACGTTGCAGGCAAAGGAAATCTGGAAGGAGCCGTCATTGCTGGAGGACAGGGACAAATATCTCTGTGAGCCCAGGGCCAGCCGGGAGTTGGCAGGGCTGGGGAGGTGGCAGAGGAGGGGCAGGCAGGATTCGGGCTGAGGGGGTGGGGGCAGGGCAGCTCTGCTCAACTTGTTCTCCAGCACGATCTCTGGGAGCCACACCATGTCCGAGGGCAGGCGCAGAACGCTGATGTTCCCAAATTCACTGGCATCCCACTGGAGCCGGCTGTCTGTCCAGCCCTGGAACCCCAAACGCTTGTCAAGCAGTGGGCCCTGCCACTGGCCAGCCTCTCCCATGGCCCCTGCTTCCTAGGGGAAGACTGCACTGGACAGGGTGTGAGAGCTGTGCTCTAAGAGCTCTGGAGAGACAAAGACAGGGGACTCTGATCTGTCATGGACAGCTGTGTAGGGTGCACACTGCACAACCAAGGCAGCATTATTCCTATGTGGGTGGAAGATCTGTGTCTGTACTATGAACTTCTGACAGTTCTGACACTTTTATTAGAAGAGTGTCTTCAGATAAAAATCAGGATAAATTGACAAATTTCCCACAGATCAACCCCAATCCTCTTAAAGACAACTAGCAGAAGACTAGGTGGGAAAGAGGTGGCTGGACCTGGGGTCCTTTGGAGGGAAGGGCCACACCTCCTGGGGGGCTGATCCCCAAGAGGAGGAGAGCACAGGGGAGCCTGGGCCTGTAACCACCCCGCCCACCTCGGGGGCCCTCCTTACGTGCTCTATCCAGACGTTGGTGGTGAGAGTCTCTTCCACTTCCTTCTGTAAGGGGACAGGAGGGCAGGCCCAGGAGGTCCCAGTCTTCCCCCCACCCACCGGGCACCTCATCTGGCTGGCACCAGAGGGAGCAGGGTAGTTGGGCAGTGGCCATCAGGGTGGGTGGGAAGACCAGGCAGGGGCCGAGAGGGCAGACAGCCGCTGAGAGTTGGTGTGGGGGGCACACCCACGCTGCAGCTGGAGGGCGAGGGGCAGGCGCCCTGGGGGCTCGAGGCTTTCTGGCAGCAGCAGGCTCAGAGAAGCAGGTGCGAAGGAGCTGAAAGGGGCATCTGGGTACCAGGAAGCTGTCCCTCTCCTGCCCGGCCCAGCCCAGCAGGCACAGCTCACCAGGGAGATGAGGTTGGAGAGGGTGAGGGCCAGTGTGATGTCCACGCTGTCCTCCTTGCGGGCCACGGGTCGCAGCTCCTTGTTGTAGCCTCTCTCCTGGAACAGGTGCTGGATCAGCCGCTCCTCCTCCTTCAGGCCCCAGCCGCCTGGGGAGAGGAACTGAGTGGGACCAGGGACCCAGGGGACCAGGCAGAGATGCCTGAACGGGAGTGGGGAGTTGAGGGTGAACCCAGGGAGGAGGCCATGTGGCAGGGGACCTGGGGGCTCACAAGGGACCAAGTGGGGATGATGTCCCCCCTTACCAGTCACGACCAGGGCGGCCAGCAGCCCCAGGGTCAGCACGGGCCCCTCCATCTGGTCCCAAGGACCAGGTCCTCCGTCTGCCCCTCCCGACTGTAGGCTGGGGACTGAGGGTGGGTGGGAGAACAGACAGGTGTCGGGGGCAAAGGGAAGAGGAGCCGGAAAGGCAATCTGACACCTTGGGGCTGGCGACGAGGGTGTGGGGACAGCCGGGCCAGACAGGCGCCTGGACTGAAGACAGAGATCCTGGGCAGGAATCCCGCAGCCAGCCGGGAGGATGGGACGCAGGTCAGCCAGTTGGGGCTGAGACAGGCAGGCCAGCTGCTGCCACTTCTCAGGAGGCAGCGGAATGCTCCCCAGCAGGTCACCCCACCCCACTGGCACCCAAGGAAGTTCCAGTGGCTCCATGGCTTACAAATCACATTTATTAAAGCAGCCGCGAGTCTTTGATCATGCCCCTGGGAAGACACAAGACCGCCACCCACCCACACGGGACGGTCCCAGCCCTCTCAGCCTCCGGGAGCAGTGGGTCCCCCTTGTGGCTGCTGGGCCACGATGTCACTCTTCCTCCCCACCCCAGGCCCTGAGGGCTCTGCCTCTGCCAGGGCAGCTGAGCAGAAGGCTCGCAGGGCCTGCACCAGCAGGGGAGGAAGGCTGCGGGCCAGCGTGGCCGGCTCCAGGCCCACCAGGCCGCTGAAGACCACCCGGCGGCCTCCCAGGCCTGCCCGCACCCACGCTCTGAAGAGTCCCAACATCGTCTTGGAGCTCAGGTCAGCCAGCACCTGCAGAGAGAGTGAGGTCAGGGGTCCAGAAAATTTGGACACCCCAGAGCACCTTCATTACTAAAATTTCAGTTTTATTATGATTTTCATTACTAGTCCACATTTGCAGTACACAGTGATGGCACTCCTTGTGGGAGCTGGTCCGTGTACATAACACATCTTCATTCTTTTGGTATCACCTTTCCTCTTCTCCCTTCTCCAGCTCCCTGTTTCCTGTTATCTTTCATTTTGTTCTTTCTTTATGTTTTAGGTCTCATATAAGAGAAACCATGCAGCTGGGTGTCATGGCGCATGCCTGTAATTCCCACACTCGGGAGGCTGAGGCAGGAGGATCACTGTGAGTTCGAGAAGAGCCTGGGCTACATAGTGAGTTTCAGGTCAGTCTCAACTATGTAGTGAGACCCTGGCCCATTTTCCTACAGATGCCTTGGGTTCTCTCTGCTTCCCTCCCCTCTTTACCCTTCCTGGAGCCAACTCACTCACAGAAGCCCCCTACTCTCAGGCCTGGACCTCTGCCCCAACCCAGCCTCGGGGGAAGGTCCCAGCAGGGCCAGACCCTCTGCCTCTTCCCTGCCCGGGTCCCCACCAGCATTCCAAGCTGCTGGACGGAGTCTGGGGAACCCACCTCCTGGAAGTGCATGGCCAGCTGCTCCGAAGGGACCCATAGGATCCAGGCATGGGAACCCTGAAGGGCCGCCAACTTCCGTCGCAGGGGCTCCAGGCCAGGGAAGCCTGCAGGAAGGCGAGAAGCCCCGGAATCAGCACCGATTACTGCAGAGAGCTAGGGTTGGGTCTCCCACAGGACCCTCAGGACATATCCGGGGGCAGACATCTTGTGCATACCACAGAAGGGGAAACTGAGTGTTGGACAGGCTGTGATCACAGCGGGCAAAGGACTTCTGTTTGACACCGAGGGGCGCCCAAAGGCCCACGCCCCTACCCCAAGGCTCACCACTGTACCGGGAGGAGGGGGAGGTCAGTCTGCGCGGCTGCCCAGAGGGACAGCGGCTTCCTAGCCCAGGCCCCACCCCTACCAGTCCGGCCTCGGTCGGCCACTTGTCTACTCCTCTCCGCGTGGCCGGCAGGGGCGTCGTTACCGCTCGTATCCCCGCGGGGCTCCAGCTTTGGCTTCTGGAACTGCACTCCAGCAGCCTGGGGTCCCGGGAAGACGCAGGGTGCGGGGAGCCGTGGGGGGGGGCGCGGCGGGGCTACCTGAGCT